AACAAAGAACAAACAAACCCATAACTCCTGTCCCACAAACACACTTAAAATGACATCGAATGTTAGTAAGCCAAAGGCCGGGTTGATGAAGAACGTTTTTGCCTGGCGCCCAAAGATATGTAATGAAGGCGCCAGGTGAGTCTCCCTGGGGAGAGCATTCCACAAACGGGGAGCCACTGCAAAAAAGTCCCCGCTCTCATGTTGCCACCATGCAGACCTCTCGTGGAGGAGGCCCACGAAGAAGGGTCTCAGTTGGCAAGTGCGGAGTCTGGGAGATCGCCACCTTAGCTTCACGGGGCATGTGTTTAACTGGCCACAGCATTAAGACTGCATGCAATGCATAGCCTATCAATTCACCCTCTGCAGCAGCCGGCGACATCCCCTTGTAGCTGGCAATTGTCTCTTTCCAAGGCAATTACGCTTCTTTCATGGATATTTTTAACTAACAGAACAAACTCCCTCTTTGCTTCTTTAATCAGTGCGGCGGGGCAAGCTGTTCCAGACAAAACGGATGCGGGATGCAGAACAAAGCGCCGAAAGGGGGAAAAAGATTTAGCAGTGGGGGGAAAGGTTCGGGCAGCGAGAAAGGCCGATTCTGCACAACCAGCTGGAAGCTGATCAGGCGAGCGTAGACTTTGGACCCACAACTGTAGGGCTTTTGGCCTGCTCAGTGTTTACCCTAGCTCTGGAGGCTGAAGGGGGGCTCCTGGGGGGTCAGGGTAAAAGACTCAGTGGGGAGAGGCAGCCCCCTGAACAGAAGGGGTCTCCCTGCAGCAGGGGTGGGAGCTGTTTGCATTGCACACCTCCAGGTAACTGAATACTCGGAGCAGGTTAACCCTTAACACAGGGGCAGGAAGAGGGTAATTGGGGAATCTACGGATGGGAGTAGATGTCCAGGAGAGGGTTGCTGAAAATTATTCTCTGCTGTGGGTTGTGGTCAGCTTGGTGCAAGTTGCTTCTCTCTCTCGGGGCTCATCCAGACTTCCTTTTGCGCTGTGTTTCCAGGCATTTTAAAGCTTTGTGCCCGAGCATTGGGGTTTGTTTGTTTGTTTGTTTTGTCCTGGTGCTTTCCCTGGGAAAACTTGAATTATAGTATGCCTGGATAGCTCCGCTGGTTAGAGTGCAGTGCTGATAATGCCAAGGTTACAAGTTCGATTCACCATATGGACACACCGTATTTTTCGCTTTATAAGACGCACTTTTCCCCCTTCAAAAATTAAGGGGAAATGTGTGTGCGTCTTATGGAGCGAATGCAGGCTCCTTGGCTTCAGCGATAGCAACGCGAAGCCTCTGAAGCGCAGAGGGAGAGCTCCCCCCGCGCTCCGGAGGCTTCGCGCTGCTTTCGCTGAAGCCACCTGAAGCCCCCGGAGCGCAATGGGAACTCCCGCTTCGCTCCGGGGGCTTCAGGCACTTATCCGCAAGCCTTCGGAGTACAGCAGGAGTTCCCGCTGTGCTCCGAAGGCTTGTGGATAGCCGCCTGAAGCCTGGAGAGTGAGAGGGGTCGGTGCACACCGATCCCTCTTGCTCTCCTGGCTTCGCTTCGCTGGAGAGGCCCTGTGCAGCTTTCCCTCTCTGCGCAGCGCCCCTTCAGCGAAGCGGGAGGAGAAATGGAAAGGGCTCCGTTTCTCCTGCCGCTTCGCTGAAGGGGCGCTGAGCAGAGAGGGGGATAATTCCCCCCCCCCCGTTCTCCCCCTCCTATGGTCCGGTGCGTCCTATAGAGCGAAAAATACAGTAGCTGTCAACTTTTCCATTTTCTTGCAAGGAATCCTATTCGGAATAAGGGAATTTCTCTTAAAAAATGGGAAACGTCGACAGCTATGCGTATGGGATAACAACAACAACACGTTTTTCCCAGCTCCAGGACAAAGACAAAACAAAACTACTCGGACACGAAGTTTTACAGCCTGGACCTGTCCCCAGAAATGTGGCAGAAAAGGAAGTCTGGATGAGCTGTCAGTGTTCCACACCTGTAAAATGGGAGCATTAATTGGCTGACTGCAGTCAACTTTTGGCACAATTCCCCTGCCCAGCTGTAGAGATGCCCTGCTTAAGGGAAGGATAGAAGATGAGGCTGGGAATGTCCCCTGCCTGGAGAGCTGCTGCCTCGGCCTACAGAGCAAGATGAGCGCGCAACCCCAGAGTTGTTTGCGACTGGACTTAAGGGTCAGGGGTCCCTTTACTGTTATATTGCCATTGGCCACAAGGGGGAGCTACAGTGACAGAAGTGGAGTCCCTGACTCAGACCTTTCCTGTAAATTCAATTAAAAGTTGATACGAATAGAACTTCCTGTTACAGGGCAGCTATATAAATTCAGTTAATAATAAAAATAAATAAATATTCCAGTTAAGAAAAAGCATTGGCAGGGCAGCTGAAGAAGGTCAGAGAGGCAGTCATGGGAGGGGGGAAGAGAGTCTACGGGGCTGTATTCAAAAGAGGAATAATCTATTTGTGTTTTGGTTTTTTATTACTTATCATTACCCCTTTTATTACTATATTCATGGAGCGGTGCGTTATAAACTGCTCTGCGGTAGATATTACGAAGGGCGGTCTAGGAATGCCTTAAACAAATATATCGGGGTTTCTGTGCCCAACATCAGTCGTCCGCAGTGTAGACACGTTTAAATGAATGGCCGTGATTAACTGTGGCCCTTTCTTTATTTACCCAATCTTTCATTCATCGCATTTATAGCCCGCTTTTGTCTCAAAAGGAGCTCAGTTGGCACAGCCACTATTCTGAGCCCTCCGGTACTTTAAAAAAAAGAAAAGAAAAAGCGGATAAGGAATAAACAGAGCGAACTCTTTGGGGAGCATAGTTGCCAATTTTTAAATTGCAAAAAAATGCAGGTATCTGAATTGGGCCAAGGGTACAGTAAGACCGGCAAAGTTGGAGCAGATTCTGGCAAGGTGCAATTTGACACTAGGTGATGGGCAGTTAGTAGCGCCTCGCGCAATTCTGAATCTTACAACGATGCAATCTTGCAATTATACAATAACAGGGGTGCGTTGCCACAATCAATGTTGCATATTTGTTGCATTTCAGCTAGATCTACTACTGTGATTTTCGCACCATGACGCACTTTTTTCCTCCTAAAAAGTAAGGGGGGATGTGAGTGCGTCTTATGGAGCGAATGGCGCTGAGCAGAGAGGGAGAGCTGCGCAGCGCCCCTTCAGCAAAGGGCCTCTCCTGGCTTCTCCCTTAGCCTCTTCTGGGCAGAGGGAGCCTTCATCCCGCTGCCTGGGAGAGGATGCTTGCGGCTATCCCAGAAGCCAGAACAGCCAGAGGCTATCCCAGAAGCCAGATCCCTCTTGCTGTTCTGGCTTCTGGGATTCAGAATATTGTTTTTCTTGTTTCCCTCCTCCAAAAACTAGGTGCGCCTTATGGTCTGGTGTGTCTTATGGAGCTAAAAACACGGTATGTTCTGTGACCCAAGCTGTGTTTTCCATTTTACGTCACAGAACTTGCGCACGATTCCCTCAAAACTTCCAGCATCCCTAAAGGCTTGGATTTGGACCCTGCGGTGGCTAAAAAGCTCCCCCTTTCGTGCTGATAGAGCGGCTCCGAGACGCTGGAAGCAGGGACCCTCCAGCGGCAGAAATATTGCATCAACGGCACGACGCTGGACCACTGGTCACACAGGGCGAAATCTGATGGGCTACAGGCGAAGCCTGACCAAAAATAAATGGTCCGCTTTGCTGGCTCCCTGACAGCCGCAGAATTCAGGGATGCAGGCCTTGAAAGGTTTGCACCAGCCTTCCCAAATCTGGTGCCCTCGAGTGTTTGTGACTACCGTTCCCATCAGTGCGGGCAAGGACTGATGGGAGTTGTAGTCCAAACCTTTTGGATCAGGCAGCAGGGTTTTTGGGGTGGGTTTGGAACATAGCTGTCAACTTACAGATTTGAAAATAAGGGACCAGCAGCCTCGAAAATAAGGGATCAGCAGCCAAAATAAGGGATTTTCCAAGCACAGGTATGTTCAACTTCTGAGCCCCTCCGAGCCAAAGGCAGAAAGCCCAGCCAGCAGCCAAACGAAGCCTCAAGCGGTGGTTCCCACAGCGCAGCAACCCGGCAAAGGGGATGCAGCAAGGAAAACCACCGTCCCCTCTCCGCTGGGAAGCGCTGAGCAAAGGCGAGTCCCCAGGCAAGGCGGCCGATTTGATTGGCACAAGGCATGCAAGCTCCACCCCCCCCAGTCGTTCTTAGACTCCTTATTGGGTGAGCATCGCAGCCGAGCAACACAGTTGGAGCCTCCCTCCTCCCTGGCCGGCAGGGAGGGAGGGACAGGAGCTGCTTCCTTTGAAACCCGGGAAATTTAAGGGACATCATCAATAAGGGACAGCAGCGGGACACGGCGCTGGGATAAGGGACTTTCCCGCCAAATAAGGGACGGTTGACAGCTATGCCCCAATCTGGTGCCCTCGGGTGTTTTTGACTACCGTTCCCATCAGTGCGGGCAAGGACTGATGGGAGTTGTAGTCCAAACCTTTTGGATCAGGCAGCAGGGTTTTTGGAGTGGGTTTGGAACATAGCTGTCAACTTACAGATTTGAAAATAAGGGACCAGCAGCCTCGAAAATAAGGGCTCAGCAGCCAAAATAAGGGATTTTCCAGAGCACAGGTTTGTTCAACTTCTGAGCCCCTCCGAGCCTAAGGCAGAAAGCCCAGCCAGCAGCCAAACGAAGCCTCAAGCGGTGGTTCCCACAGCGCAGCAACCCGGCAAAGGGGATGCAGCAAGGAAAACCACCGTCACCTCTCAGCTGGGAAGCGCTGAGCAAAGGCGAGTCCCAAGGCAACGCGGCCGATTTGATCGGCACAAGGCATGCAAGCTCCACCCCCCAGTCGTTCTCAGACTCCTTATTGGGTGAGCAACGCAGCCAAGCAACACAGTTGGAACCTCCCTCCTCCCTGGGAGGGAGGGAGGGAGAGGAGCTGCTTCCTTTGAAACCCGGGAAATTTAAGGGACATCATCAATAAGGGACAGCAGCGGGACACGACACTGGGATAAGGGACTTTCCCGCCAAATAAGGGACGGTTGACAGCTATGCCCCAATCTGGTGCCCTCGGGTGTTTTTGACTACCGTTCCCATCAGTGCGGGCAAGGACTGATGGGAGTTGTAGTCCAAACCTTCTGGATCAGGCAGCAGGGTTTTTGGGGTGGGTTTGGAAACTGCCTGACCCCAATTGCCCTCCTCCCCATCCACCCTGACTCCCCCCTGGTGTTAGTGCCAACCTAAGGGGGGGTGGCCTTGCAGAGGGGTCTCCTTGGAGCCGGGGGTGGCAGCGGCAGCGCCGTACTGCTTCAGGAAGTCCCGCCTTTCTCGGGCTCTCCGGTTCTGGAACCAAATCTTCACCTTGGGGGGAGGAAGAAAGAGAAAAAGAGGAAGAGGAGGTCAGTTGCCATTCACCCAGATTTGACCCACTTGGGATGCTCAGCCCCTGGTCAGTTTCTCCCACAAGCTAGTGTGGTGGACTAGACTACTAGGACCCTGGGGACCAGGGTTCGAATCCCCACTTAGGCCCAAAGGCGTGTGGCCCCCAGGTGGTTCCCATTGGGGGAATGCGGCCCTCAGCCTGACAAAAAGTGCCCTGCCCCCACCAGGCACCAGGGGACGTGTCTAGGAAACTGACAGCCCTCCAGAGCTTGTTGGACTACAACTCCCATGATGCCTTGCCGTTGCCGCGCTGCCTGATGGGAGTCGGAGTCCAAGGATGTCCAGAAGGCTGCAGATTCCCAGTCCCAACTTCGCTTTGCTCCACCAGGAGGCACTGTCACAAAGCTGAGGGGCAAGGGCCACTCCAGGAGCAGTTCGGTGGCCCAGGAATCATAGAGTTCATAGCACTGTTGGGCTGGAAGGGATCCCGAGGGTCATCCAGCCCAAACCGCTGCCGTGCAGGAGGTGGCAGAGCTACAGAATGCAGAGGTGCCCACGGGGTTGGAGGACTGGGGTTATTTCTTACCCGGTTCTCCGTCAGGCCCAGCAGCAGAGCAACCTCCTTCATCTGCTCGGTGCTCAGATAATGTGTTTGTTGGAAGCTGCTCTCCAGGGCCCCCAGCTGAGAGGCAGAGAAAGGGACCCGGGGGCTTCGGTAGGGGGGCCGGGGGCCGCAGCCCGTCTGCTTCATCTCTGCAGGGAAGGGAGAAAACCCAGGTCAGGACCTGGAGCGCTGGGAGAATTGGCACAGGAAGCACCTGTGCCAATTTCCTGGGATACCTGTACCTTTATTTTATTTTTATTTATTTTCTAATTTTTATTTCAACCCCCCCCAAAAAAAAATTACAAATCTCAAATTCAAAATCCACATTCATTTTCTAACAGAAGCCTATGACATAGATTACCTAAATTAATATATATCTAATTGCTGTAGGCTTCCCTTTGCTATATGTAAATACAACGCAATTAACAAATTATATTATATATATTTTTGTTTAAAAAAATTCAATTTTTTAAAATTGATTTTCACATAATTATAAACAAACAAACACAAACATAAAGCATAACCTTATTAAAAATTACAGTTATTAACATTGTTAAGTGACTTCCTCGCTGAATTTCAGGGTATATCCTTTTAACGGTTTTCCAAATCACAGTTCTCATAAAATTTAACTTGAAGATTAACATCCTTAAATCTTTTCATTTTGAAATTACATATATTAATTCGTCACTTAACTTATATAACAAATTATAACAAGGATGTAACAAATTATATTATAAATGATATTATAGGTTCCCGTAAGCCCCCCACTCCCAGGTGTGATCTCCATATTTTACTTCTTCCATCTTGTTGCGTTGTTATAATTTAATAATTATTCAATTGATTCTATTATTATTTTCTTGCTTACCCCTGCACCTTTTACACATTCTCTATTAATATTTCAATTTTTTCATGTATTCCTTCACTCCATCCCACTCTCTAATTATGGATACCTGTACTTTAAAGGCCCTCCAGATGTTCACAAAATTGTAGAGTCGGAAGAGACCCCAATCCCCCTGCAACGGAAGAACCTTTCACCCAATGCGGCACTCGAACCCAGGTCCCTGAGATTAAGAAGCTCATTGAGCCCTGCCAAGCTACAGCTCCCATCAGCCCGAGAAAGCACGGCCAATAGCCAGGGAAGATGGGAGTTGTAGTTCAGTAATGCCTGAATTCCGTAGAGTAATGTATGGAAGTGAGAGCTGGACCATAAAGAAGGCTAATCGCCAAAGAATGGATGCTTTTGAATTATGGTGCTGGAGGAGACTCTTGAGAGTCCCATGGACTGCAAGAAGATCAAACCTCTCCATTTTTAGGGAAATCAGCCCTGAGTGCTCACTGGAAGGACAGATCCGGAAGCTGAGGCTCCAAGACTTTGGCCACATCATGAGAAGAGAAAGACTCCCTGGAAAAGACCCTGATGTTGGGAAAGATGGAGGGCACAAGGAGAAGGGGACGACAGAGGACGAGATGGCTGGACAGTGTTCTCGAAGCTACCAGCATGAGTTTGACCAAACTGCGGGAGGCAGTGGAAGACAGGAGTGCCTGGCGTGCTCTGGCCCATGGGGTCACGAAGAGTCGGACACGACTAAACGACTAAACAGCAACAATGCCTGAAGGGCCAGTAGTTTCCTTCGCCTGCCTTTGGCCCATCCCTGGCAAAACTATCTGCCGACTTAAGTTTCTAGACCTCTTGGTTAACAATACCTCTGCAGACAGATAATGCAGGCAGCTATATGCATGCGTAAAGGTAAAGGGACCCCTGAACATTAGGTCCAGTCGTGACCGACTCTGGGGTTGTGGCGCTCATCTTGCTTTACTGGCTGAGGGAGCCGGCGTACAGCTTCTGGCCAGCATGTGGCCAGCATGACCAAGCCGCTTCTGGCGAACCAGAGCAGCGCACGGAAACGCCGTTTACCTTCCCACTGGAGTGGTACCTATTTATCTACTTGCACTTTGATGTGCTTTTGAACTGCTAGGTTGCCAGGAGCAGGGACCGAGCAACGGGAGCTCACCCCGTCACAGGGATTCGAACCGCCGACCTCCTGATCGGCAAGTCCTAGGCTCTGTGGTTTAACCCACAGCACCACCCGCGTCCCTTTCATGCATACAGTAAGCGGGCACAAATATTACCGTATTTTTCGCTCTATAAGACGCACCAGACCACAAGAGGAGGAGGAAAAGAAGAAAAAAAATATTCTGAATCTCAGAAGCCAAAACAGCAAGAGGGATCGCTGCGCAGTGAAAGCAGCGATCCCTCTTGCTGTTCTGGCTTCTGGGATAGCTGTGCAGCCTGCATTCGCTCCGTAAGACGCACACACATTTCCCCTTACTTTTTAGGAGGGAAAAAGTGAGTCTTATAGAGCAAAAAATATGGTAGTTATCCATGCCAACAAACCCTAACAAATGCTTAGTCATGACAGGCCACAGTCTAACCACCGCGTAAGCTTTGCATTAGCGAATCTGGATAAATATTGACTAAACGGTTTGCCCGGAGGAGCTCAAAACAACACCCATGTTTTATCCTGGCTCCTCCAGTGCAGCGAAGGAGGCACCTTTTTGGTGCTGAGGCCTTACTTGGAACGGAAGTGGGCTTGAAGTGGTTGCAGTGCATCCAGGTGTAGCCTTGAGAGGGGCTGCCCCATCTTGCTCCTTCTGCCGGCTCCTGGTGCGTCTCCCCTTCCCCTTCGGAGCCATCTTGGGCCAGAATGGAACGGATGGAAAAATCCGCCACTCGCTGGGTAGGCTTGGTCCTCTGCGGAACAAGGAGGTCCCAGCGGCTCGGATGATGCCACAGAGGCTGGGTCTGGGGGGCCAAAGTGGCAGCCCCCTCTCTGCTGACCAGGAGGGACAGGGGACGCCTCTCGGGACCGTCCAAGCTGGTGTTGGCCATTCGTCTCAAAGCTCCGATGGCGCCTTCCTGGGTGCGCTCACAGCCGGCGGCTTCTGGGGGAGAGGCGAGGCGTGGAAAGAGCTGCCACTGCCCTGACCCCCCTCTATTTAAGAGCCAGGGGCTGGTGCAGAGAGACAGAGGGAGATTTGCGAGGGATTTACCTGGGACCAATCCAGAGGCCTGCTCCGGAGGGATAAGATCACCTGACGGGAGCCCAATCTGTCGGGGATGGAAGGCACCGAACCAGTTGCCAAAGTCTCCTGTTACAGGCGGAGGCGTAGGCGTTGAATGGGACACCTGATCTTCCAGGTCAAAAAGAAGTTTGTTGCAATCAGTGACAAATCCTCACCGCCCTCAGCTTTCTGTGGCCATTCATTTAGGAGCGGGGGGGGGGGGGAGAGAGAGATCTGGACCTGGAAGCCCTTCTCCTGGATCTGCTGCCGTCGAAAGATTCAGGAACAAAACATTAAATAAAAAGAAAATAATTATTCGACACAGCGCGCACGGTTGATCTATGGAACTCGCTGCTGCAGGAGACGGCCACCTGGCTTTAAAAGGGGATTGGACAAATTCAGGAAGGTGTAATAAACGAAAATCTGCCCTTATTCCCTTATGGGGGACACAAGAGCCCTTACAGAGTCCTTTGTAGGTTCTCCATCGGTCAGAGAAAATAACAAGAGGCCAACCAGAGAATATTGAGAAGCAAAGCAGCTCGTAAGCCTGATCTTTATTGAGATGTGCTCCCCTTCACATGCAGGAAAGGAGGACCCCAAACAAAGGTGTGCCCCCCCTTATATAGACATTTTAAATTGACCGCCCTGCAGTCCAAGACCACCCCCAGAAACATCATACATATATCACAGAAGGGGTGTAGCTCAAGACGACCCCCCCCCAGATACATCATACCTACATCACAGAAAGGGCTGTCTACAACAGAAATCTGAGTGCATTGTTTATCTTCTGTCTGGCAGGTTACCTGTTAATGTTCACTTGATTGGAATACCAGGACAGTCTTTTGTAATGATACTTAGTTCCTGAGCCAGGTCACAGGCTCACCCTATTCATACACAGACATACCCTTAAGACAGGATTTGTGAACGAAAAGACAATGGGAAGGCTTTTCCATTTTCCTTCGACCCTGCAGAGAAATATTTGAGGTCAATTTAGGAGGGACAAAATGGTTTCAGGACTTTTCTGTGGGGTTTCAGACAGGTGGTTTATATATGCCGTTATGAATATTTATCTTTCTATTTTTTATTTCAAAGGCTATCGGGAGAAACAGTTGTGCTTCTGAACACCAGTTGCTGGAAACCACAGGAAGGGAGAGTTGGTCTTGTGTTCGAATTCTGCACGCATATGGTTGACCACTGTGAGAACAGGATGCTGGGCCCTTGGGCCCTTGGCCTGATCCAGTTGGCTTTTCTTGTGCTCTTTCAGTAGTGCAGCAAACAGCACTCTCCACATGCTCCAAGATAGCCACTTCTTTTTTTAAAATGTATTTTTATTAAAGATTTCCTTGGTTTACAAAAGTATGTGCAATCTCTCTCTCTCTCTCTTTTTCTCCAAGTAACATGGATCAGTTTCATTTGTTGAGACATTAGGAAGAAGAGGGGGAAAGAGGTTGGGGGGGAGATGGGTGGGGGTGGCGATGTTTCTATTATATTTAATATATGTGGGGTTTTGTGTCAGCATCACTTGTGCAGGTTCTCTGCTGTTCGCATGTGTTCCTTTGGTGGTGAGAGAGGTTGGGGTTGGCCTAGGGTGTGGTTGTTCATTTGTGGTTGGCTGTGGTGGTCTTTGTTTTCGTGTGTGAGTGGGGTGGGTGGGTGTTTTGGATCAGGTTAGCCATACTGATCTGTATGCTGTTGGTGGATTTTTGTCGTTGTCTTTTGGGCTGTGTATGTGATAAAGGGGAGCGAAGGCGTCTTCTTCTGTTTGTCCCCATGTCAGTTTCAGTTTATTGGTTAATTTTTCTAGTAGGGCTGTTTCCCATACTATTTGGTACCCTTGGTCCATGCTTACTCCTGACAGGTCTCTCCAGTGTCTGGTTATGATGTTTATAGCTGCTGAAAGTAGGTGGGTTATGTGTTCTTTGTGGTGCAACAAGATAGGCACTTCGATTGCCTCTGGGGGACCACAGCCAAGTCTTGGCACCCAGGAAAGGTTCTAGGGCCCAGATCCTGGCTTGTGTTCAAGACAGGTTTTCCTCATGTGGCCTGTGAAGCTGAGGAAGAATCACAGAAGGGACCCACAGACATCATCTTGTCCAACCCTTTGCAATGCAGGAATATGAAGCTGGCCCTGACATGGATCGCTCAGGGATGCCTCAATGGAGTTTTAAAAGCACTGAGACAAAGCCTTCAGGAGAGGTCAAAACAAAAAAAATTCCTTCCAGTAGCACCTTAAAGACCAACTAAGTTAGTTCTTGGTATGAGCTTTCGTGTGCATGCACACTTCTTCAGATACACTGAAACAGAAGTTGCCAGATCCTTCTATATAGTGAGAAGGTGGGGAGGGGTATTACTCAGAAGGGTGGTGGGAATGGGTGATTGGCAGATAGCTGTGATGAGCCTGTTGACGACTCTTAACTACTGCAATAGGTCTTACAGGGAAAAGCAAGGGGTGAGAAGGTGAAAAATGGCTTTGTCATGTATAATGAGATAAGAATCCAATGTCTTTGTTCAGACCAGGTCTCTCCATGGTTTTAAGTTTGGTAATGAGTTGCAATTCAGCAGCTTCTCTTTCCAGTCTATTTCTGAGGTGTAATGTCTATTTCCAGTCTATTTCTGAGGTGTATTTCAGGAGAGGTGTAATGGAGACTGCGAATCCTTTGGATAAAACTGGCAGCCAATATATACAGGGGACAATATTTTGTTTTTTAAATAATTTTTATTGAATGATTTTATGTTACAAAGAACATTACAACCATACTACCACTAAATATAATTGAGAAATAAAAATTACATACGTCAATATTTGGTTTGTTATTTGTTATTTACCGTCTTATTTCCTCCCAAACATTCCATACAAAAACACACATATGTACAGACACACACACACAAATAAATGATAACAATGAAAGTAAATATTTTTCCCCCCCCTTTTATCTTACAAAAAAATTTCTTCAGTTTTGACTTCCTGTCACTGCCTTGGAAAGAGACAATTGCCAAACAAGATATGTTTTTATCTTACACAAAACAATAAACCATTCTATATAAATTTTCCAATACATCCTGAAAACATAATCAATCCTTAATTGTTATCCACCTCCTTTTACTCGCTTTATCATTCGAATGCTAGCACGGAGTCAAAACTATTATTGTATTTTTGAACATATCTTCTATAACCATCCCATTTTCCCGCAAATTTTTGCTTTGTGTTTCCTCAGAGTTTGCTAGTCAATTGAGCCATCTCCTGTAATTAGATTTGCCAATCTCCGGTAATTAGATTTGCCAGTCTGTTATGTTCGGAGCCTCGTGATCTTTCCATCAGGGGACAATATTTTGAACTGGGTCCAGTAATGAATTGGCAACCAGAGCAACAATGGGGGAGTTTCGAATGTAGCCTTATGAAGCTTTGCCCTCGGGTGGGAAAAATATTGCGCCCGGGAAAGGGAAAATGGGAGTCCACTGTTGGGTTGAAATAAACGACAGACGAATGACAAGTGTCATATGGGAGGCATCTCTCGAGCATGTCTCGGGGAGTCCCTTTTATTGAATATTACAGCATTGCCACATATGTGCTTGTTGCTGATTGGTTAACACAAATACAATGCAAGGGTTGCATATAGACATTAATCATCAATGGATTAAAGGTTGGGAAAGGGAACAGAGAATTGGACAGGGATGAAAACCTCCTTATTAAACTATTACTAGTGATTGATACAGCAAAACTCAAAAGAGCAGTGGCGTAGCGTGGGTTGTCAGCACCTGGGGCAAGGCAAGTAATTTGCGCCCCCTAACCCGTGGATTTGCGCCCCCTAACCCGTGGATTTGCGCCCCCTAACCCGTGGATTTGCCTAACCCCCCGATGTTGCGCCCGGTGCGGCCGGCCCCCCCTGCACCCCCCACGCTACGCCACTGCAAAAGAGCATAACCATCGCACTCCGCAAATGTGGTCAACCATGCATTAAGAACAGGTCAGGGTACGATGTTTCATGAACTCAATGTGAACTGAACATTCTAGGGTGGGTGAGGAAGGAATGCAAAACTTCCCATCAGTCCACAGACACTCAAGGAATAGTTTCGGAGAAAAAGCTTTATTTCTACCATCCGTGAACTGGTAGAAGGAGCAAGTGTGATAGTTCACAAAAACGTGCACAGGTTCACAGTCATGTGCACAGAGTATATATTCCCCTTCTAGTTCCCTCCCCTTTCTCCTCCTCCTCTAGAGTCCTGCCTCATGAGTTCCCCTGAGCATGAACAGAAAGCTCCCCTGTCTTGGGACTCTTTTGGACTCTTGGCGCCCTTCCCAGGAAAGGGGGGTGAGAGCCAAGGGGTCGCGGAGCCCTGGTAGTTCAGCATGTCCAAGATGTTGCAACCGAATGAGATAAGATTCAGTTCCCAGGCCTGCTCTGACAGAGTCTATTCATTAGCTTTTTGAAGTAACATTTTGCCTAGCACAGCATCTTGTGAGAAAAGCAGAGAAGAGCAGAGAAAAGCTGTCTTGGATTTTTAGAAGGCAAAAGGAATTTTGAACAGTTTTGAGGCCTGGGGTGATTATTGAGGGGGGGGTGACTTCGGGCCTAGGTGGGGTCACCTGTCCTCACCTTCCTTCAGAATGCCTGACCCCAGCACAGCAGCCCTCTCTGGACCAGCTGAAGGTTTCCAATGTGGAGCGAGCTGTAATATCTTATAGAGTAACCCTAACCATGGCCACGACCTACACTTAAAGCATTATGAATCACAGAATCTTAGAATTGGAAAGGGACCCGAGGGTCATCTAGTCCAACCCCCTGCAATGCAAGAATCTCAGCTAACGGAATCAATCAATCAATCAATCAATCAATGCCGGAATCTCAGCTAACAGAATCAATCAATCAATCAATCAATCAATGCAGGAATCTCAGCTAAAGCATCCATGACAGATGGCCACTCAAGCTCTGCTCATCTGACTTCAAACAGTCATGGGTGTCCCCCAAAGAATTCTGGGAGCTGTAGTTTGTGGAGGGTGATGAG